GTAGCACTCGTTGTCGAAGGGTCTGAAATTCAAAACAATCATTTGTTTCTTAATAGATTTTAGTGCTATTTTCTTTAAAACTCGATGGATTTTATTGTTTGGTGGCTTATTCTGAATAGAAATGGATGCCATCGGTTGTAACATAAGAAATGGAGGCTTTGTTCAGCGTGATGGAGTATATGTAAACGAAAAGTATGGGATTGCAGATGGCAGAGTGTGTGAGAGTTTGGCGTGCAGATGTAGGATTTCCTCTGCACTCTCGATCACTCGCATCCATTCTCACCTTTACTCTAAAGTACCATCGCCACTATGTTTGGATTGATTTAAGTAGACTCCTATGTAAATCTAGTTAAAATTCTGTGAGAACAAATAAGGCCTAATGTCTCATGTTCTTAGAATTGTCCTATGACGACTTATAAAAATATTTATTGAAACGTACCTAAATATTGTTTGATTCTCTAGAAAAATGAAGTTTTTCTGATGAAAGCAGTAAAATTAGGCCACTTGAGAAGCATATGAACATGCATAGTGTTTTCATTATCATCATTTAGTTTCAAAGCAGAACCAGTAACACCATAAGGATTAACGAAAACAATACATCCTAACATTCAGTTATTTTAACAAAAAAAAGTACATCAGAATCTCGCGGCGTTGATGTTTGGTAAATTTGTCTTGTGATTCACTAGAGGTGCATTCACTCATTTACAGTGTTTATGTAAACACTGACAGTCAGTCATAAACAAAAGCTTCACTTGGGGGGGGGGGGGGGTCCTTGGGCTGCTGGTCGCATTTGCCGTAACATTGAGTCACCAGCTATATCAAAATATGCCCCGTTTGCAGTGATGCCTTCGAGTGTTTCAGTGAACACTGATGCCAGTGTCAATGTGCTCAGTTAGTCACTGTTCACTGACCATGCGGATTCGGTGATGTCGGTAATCCGTTAACTGAAACTGTAATTCCTCAAGTACTTTTCCATAGAAAAAGTTCAGCTGATATATTTCAGAGATGACGTAGTTTTCTACATTGATTCCTAATATACTGTTGATTTTAGTTTAACATTCAGTTATAGTCAAAAAAGGCTACAAAATTCTAACGTATTTTTGAAAAATATGTGTTTTATAATTAATACTTCAAACACAGGTGTCTCAATAGTGAAACTAAGTCGAAGAATACGACATTGGTGCATCTAATGCTCAAAATCCAATTATTCTAGTGAGATGCGACACTCAGTCTGTACTTTTTTTCATGAAAGACTCGATAAATTTATCAAAATCATGAATGACATAGGCCTTGACCTGCACCTTTATACGAAACTCTTTTTCCATCCTTTCCGAGGCAGGTTTAGATGTGGATGAAGAGAAGACCTATCCAAACCAACACCCACTTACGCTCACACATCATCTAGCCACTACAAAAAAAGAAAAATAAATGCCTTGGGCAGCGCGTATTTTAAATTTATTAGTTTGACATTAAAAGCTTCAATTGGATCCGAATATGACTAACGTCGTTTACTAAAAGTACGAAATCTTTCATTGTAAGAGAAAATTTAAACTTTTCTAAAACAACTTAGAGATGCATTATGAACTGCATCGTCTTTGAACGAATCTTTGAAAGATTGTTGTCTTAGTTATGTTAATCGAATGCAAATCATGAATAGTGAACTTTAAGAAGAATATATTACGCGTAAGTATGAATGAAAAATATAGTATTCACAAAATTTCGCTCTATTTTACACTATAAGTGGAAGTTTTCATGCATATGACAAAACTTATCTTCCATCTGGTTGCGCAAGGACAGTAAAGGACAATTAAGAACTTTCTATCTTATGAGAATGTACACAATGGATACACTGCAAAGTTTGTTTTTGAAATGTAGGCAAACTCACCAGCAACATTAAGGGTGACAGTTGTCTCTTCAGTTGAAGTCTTATTTTTTGCTGTCACCTTGTAGACACCTTGATGTTCTCGCTTTACACTAGCTACTGCAAATGTGTATCGCGTTGCTTCCACACTTGTGAACGACATTGGTTTTTCATCTTTTGTCAGCTGAATTGTCGGTGTTTCTTTGCCACTCACATCCACGACGATGTCGAATGCTTTGCTCTCTTGTAAATCGATCGCGCCCGATGCCGGTTTCACTTTTGTCAACTTCACTGGTTCCAGAATTGTAAGTACACATGGAGTCGACTGTGTTTCACCAACTTCGTTCCTCAAGACGACTCGATAGGTACCTTCACTTTGCACCACCGTTGCTTTTTTGATTAACAGTTGATATTCACCCTTGGTCTCGTCTATCGACGTATTTTCCGATCTAATGGCCTCATCTTTGAAGGACCATTGTGCAGAAGGTCGTGGTGTCCCTTTTGCAACCACTTTTAGTGTGACATCTTGTCCACTCACAATTTCTTGTTGTTTGGGCAACTGTGCGACGATTATTGGTGCAGTAAGAACAGTGAGTTGAACAGTTTCTTCTTCATTACCATAAGGATTCTGTAGCCGACAGGTAATTGAGTCTGCATGTTGTTCTTGATCGACGTTCTGAATGGACAACGTCGCTTCGCCAGTCGTATCATAGAATTGTACTTGAACGTCTTCTTTCGTTGTCAGCTGTTTGCCATTGAGAAGCCATGTGATAGTAGGTGTAGGATATCCATCGATTTGTGTCTTGAACAAGACTGTCTCACCTTGTTTTACTTTTTGTGTCGTCGGCTTGACAATAAACACTGGCGATTCTACAAAGGCAATTTTAAGTCGGTTTCAATGAATGCAAGTCCATGAAACTTTTAGCGTATATGAATCGAAGTACTTCTATTTTGAGTTGTATAACTCATTGGAAATTCCAGAAATAGAATTCTTCTATTGATAACATTGAAGAGTTCGAAATGGTTTTTGAAAAGAAAAAGTTGATAGACATTAACAAAGAGTTATAATAAATGAAAATCGTGTGAGATTTATAAACCAATACGAGACCTATAAATAGGTGTGGAACTCACAAATCGGTTAAGAGCTTATATGTTATCGCTCTTACTGCATGTTTAGATATTGAAGAGTGTGAAAGGGAATGTATTTGATCCTCTCTTTACTCGAACACACAAAGCAACTACGCTTACAAATAGACTAGTGCACGAACAAATAGTGCCTTTCCTACTAATTAATTCTTTCTTACTTCTACCATCTCATCAGTCGAAAGAGAAATAGACAGAGAAAGAGAAGAAATGAAAGATAATATGAGATACATAAGAGTAGTGCAAATGGTCTGATCCGTCACAGAATGATAGCAGTTGACTTCGTACAATTCGCTTCTTAAGTTCGTCTTGATACAGACTTGTGAGTGACTATTGGAAGTTTGATACTGCAGATGAACTGTCTTTCGATCTTACTTCGCTCATTATCAAAAACATTAGATTTAAGTTTCTGTCGCGTTAGTCAACTAAATAGCTCTCCGTTCGAAAAATGAATTTAGAAGTTTAGATGACCGCCTGATTAATAAATCAGATTGACATTTATCAGAAATCTTTTAGAAATTCTATCATCACTTTTTGACTCATCTTGTCCTCCCATTCTTCTTACAATGAAACGTAGCGTCCAAGTTTTTTTTCAAAACAAATATTAGTTTCAGTCATAACACTAAAGCTTTTAGTACGGTTCCTGCAAGATAAACATGTGAAGCACGACGAACCCATTTTAATTGTGAACGACAGTCGTCGCTATTTCTATCACAGCCCGTGGTTAGAGCAAACGGAGCACTAGATTGCAAAGTCTGTCAATTTCGCAATGATATATAGGCTTTTTTGACATGCTTATCACATACTACTGCATAGCGGAACGTCGAGGAATAGGGTTCAACTTTCTCATTTTATAGTTCAACACTCATTAACAATCGTGTTTCACAAAACGACGCACTACGCATTACACTAGATGCATACTCGCATGGAAAAATTATGTCTGTTGTTCTAAACAGTAACATGATAGAAAAAACATCGGGCTAGCACTAAGCCAATCATGCAGGATGTTGAAAGAGGTCTTGGAATTAAAGAGGACTTTCCACTGTGAAAGAGTATTGATTAGAATAAAATGTGGTGGAAGACACCGCAAGGCAGGCAATAATTTACATGATGTTAAATATAGTATCTATGTCATGAAATTGCAAAGAGTCTAATAAGAATGGACTAGTAATGTCACACATTTAGTATAGATGTGCCTTTAGACTATCAACATACTCACGTTATGTCTCTCTCGCAAGATCATTTTAGGTCCGCATTATTAATGAAGTGGGTTCATATACTCCAGAACAGTTCGATAGAACTTGGTAAGAAAACTGAAGGCAAGAGCTCTACAATAACAAACATCTGTGAAGTAGAGAATGTTGCCGTTAGTCTTTTGTTCATATTATATGAATGTGAACATAGATCCGGATGAACAGAAGACTGACGCTCAGTGCGGAGCAGCACTAAATCTATCTATCAATAATAAAAAAAATGAAAAACGGAAAATCTGAAAATTTTAGGATATGAAAGGGAAGCATCTTTTAAAGAAAATACTTCAAGCGATTGTCATGTTCTTTCAATCAAGTTTAAGAGATGAAGATAACTTTAAGAGATTTTTATCGTTCTCGAAAAAAATTAGCTTAAATCGATTATATTGGTTTTACAACAGAAAACAGAGTTCAGTAAATACATCAGAAAAATGCTTGAGGTTAATGAAATATTTAATCGATGACTTGGACAACATCGACTTTTCGTGAAAGTTGTTATTTGAAACTCAAGATTCCATTGAGTTTAAAGGAAAATTGTCATCAAGAATCTTTTTTTTCTGTTCATTTAAACTAAATCGATTTTAATTCGCTTCTTAACCGTTTTTTTTAAATGGGTAGCAAATTGATTCTTTATGTTCATTTTTTGTGATGCGAACATTAATTGAAGAATATAATCCTTGATATTTTTCGCAGTATCGAAAATTGAAGCTTTACTTAAGAAGTAAAATATTCTTTTGTTTTGGGTTTTACTTACTTGGGAGAGTTGGATTGATTGGTGGTGAAACAACAACTGGTACTGGTTGTAAGAGTGAAAATGGCGGGCTAGTTTCTTCTAGTTGGATAATATGGAGATTATCTTGATTGAGGCAACCAATTACTTTGAATTGAGTAGCAGCCATTAGAAGTACTTCATCTTCAGCTGGATAATACGAATGTTTACGTATATCTTTAGCCGATAGACAATGTAAAGTAAACATTGTGCGATCACCTTTTGCTCCCAAAAATTGATTCGAATTCAAAACATTAACAGCCGTTGTACAAGACGAGAAACCCCACCAGACGATTGTTTGTCCTCTGATGTAGCGCTTGCTAAGATCTAGTTTAACACCTCTGTACGCAGTTTTAGCTAGCGACGGAAGACGAAAGAGTGCATTAAGGAAGAGTCTCATAAACAAATACCATGGTTCAAGCTTTTGTTGCCTATCTGTTGAGCGTAATGTATCATTCAAAACGAAATATAAACATTTATCTAGTGGCTTCCATCCCATTGTGTACAACATAATTGACGCTGATTCATCTTGTGTCAATCCATCGGCAGGATTCTTACATCGCTGTTTGGCAACATATGCATGACTTTGAACAGCTGGTAGAATAGGAACAAGCGGTTCAACAGCTTCTTCAAGTGGAACAAGTAGCATTTCTTCATAGCCACCAATGGGTGCGATATACTCAAGCCGTTCCTGAACAATATCTGTAATTCGTGTTATACGCTGTGCTATTGCTTCTTCTTCATCTTCTGTGGCCATGTTCAGTAGGAAATAAGTTCTTCACGAAATATTAAAATGATGCATATCTAAAAAGCAATCAACGACAACTTTTATAGAATTATTTTTACCATTGATCTTTTTGTCTCTTGGTAATAATCAAGTTTTAAGGACATTGGACTTTTCTTACACTGTTGTATTTGATCTGATATAACCTTCAAGATTTACAGTATGCCTAATGTTAGTTCTAATACTTATGTGGACATATTCTCTGATGACACAATCAAAGTAATTTTAAATTTTTATATTGAATTGTTAATATCATAGAGATTTATTCAATACTGAATGCACATGATTTCCTTAACTATAAATTCTTTGTTGTCTAATTTTTTACTAGCTTTCTCAAAATGAGTTTCATTAAAATATAACTGTTTCTTCCACAACTTTTTTCGAACTATGATGTCCTTGATATTTCAATAAATGAACAGTGATGTTCGCTGAACACTTCTGAAGAGGAAATTTTTTATTTGTTATAATTTTTTAGTAAAATCTATTGAAGAGTGATGGTACTAGCTGTGCAGATATTCAACAGTTGTGGTTTCAAATAAATGTAGAGAACAATAGATAGAAATAAACCTATAGACTTAGCGTAAAATAGTGCTTATTCAAGCGGTACTTTTATGACGAGTGATTCACTCAGAGCTCTTTATCTGTAACAAAAAATATTTGCAAGAATATTATACGAACTCGTCATTATGATAAATGATGATGGTAGCTTAGTGTTCCAGAAGAAAACTGCTATTATTACGATTGATGGTAAGACCATGAAATTTCCCTTAATTCCAGTCAAATGAATATTGGTGTCAAGTTATCGTACGTAAAAACAATCGTATCATGTTTTTCAGAAAATGCCAATATTGAAGGTTGCCTACGATGTTTTACAACTGTCGATTGTTTTAAATGAAGGTAGAGTAAACCGACGAAGTATTGCATGTTTCTTAATCAAAATGTGTTTGTCATTGTTAAAAAGCTATCATTATTTATATATATTGCATTGAACGAAATACAATTAAGAAAGAAGTCTTCGTGCTCCGTTCATTTCAATAAAATATCTGACGATCTCTTCAAATGATCGGTAACAATGTTTGACGAAGATGATATAAACAACAATGTTCGTATTTTGTTGCTCCTAGCGCTTTCTAGCCAATATACGAATAATAATAATAATAATAGAATAAATTATAGTGTATTACGAATCCGCGAAAAGTGTCGCTTTGTGAAAAATGCAACATTTCTTTGTCCTTCTCAATAAAAATTTCTATCCATTAGGTTTGAATAAAATTACCTAATCATATGACCATAATTAAAACCATAAAACCGATTATTCTTCAAAAAAATTAAAATTAAAATTAAAATCGATTGGGAATAGTTTTCTTTTGAGCAAATTATAGCTAGATACAGATCGATTACCATACGAAAGAAGAGTATGATATTGATCAATTTTAATTTTGACTTTGCAGTATTATCAGATGGTCGATAGTCTCACTAGCGAAGCGTTTCATGTGATAAGAAACTTTATTTATTAAATAGAACCTATTAAGACCAGATAAAATATAGAATAAATCGTGCCCTTTCAGTCATCCTTCTCTAGTTTAATCCAATTTACCAAGATTTTTATTTTTATTAAGGTAACCAATACCCAACAGAAAGTTGCAATAGTAGCTATATGAAATGAGAAACGGATGGAACTCAACTGGAAATCTTTTGAATGATAATTTGACCGACTTATTTAGCATCTGCCTTTGACAAATTCTTAGTCGTTATGTATCGTTCATAACTACTCGCAGATAATGTAATTAAATGCTACCTATTTCTGGTAACGATCAAATCACATTCTGTTACATAGAAATTAAGTACATATAATTAAATGAAAGACAAAAATAAACTCAATTCGATGAAGTTTATCAGAAAAAAAACTGTATTCTTAATTAAAAGATATAACCTATACGTGATTCTACTTATTCAATGAACAATCTAAAAACTTAAATTCATCGTTTTTTTACTACTGATACATTTCTTCCGTGAAACAAGCTTCTTATTACACTTAAATAGAGCAATACTTTGTACTTGATATTCTTTTACTTTTCATTGACGAAATTATGACAAAGAATACGTTGACTTTTACTCTATGAATTTCTAATAGTACCATGCTATAGTGATAATGAACGTATTTCATAAATTCATTTATGTTCTTTTAGTTTCAATGACAAAAGAAAAAAAAAGATAGCAACAGAATTAACATACAACTGTCGCCTTGCGAATATTTTATTCTACATGACTACTTGAACTTTCATCTCTAAAATAATAGATCATCAAGAGTAATATATTTTTTGGATTTTCTACTTTCAAATTCATGTTTCTCGACTAGTCAAATATTTTCTGCCTGGTTCAGACACAAGCTGTTAGCTGATCGCTCCATTATTTGAAGCGATGATCTTGTTTCCAGCACTAGTTGTGCCGACAGTTTATTGAAAAAGAAATATTGATATTATGAATCGACAGTTCTCATAGAAGTGCTTTTTCACCCCTTTATACAAAGCTAGCTCATCTGACAGCTTTGCTTTAGTAATGTAATATGAATATATAAAAAAATTTCTAATAGAAAACCGAATGATATTTTCAGTTTTCATACACCCAAAACAAAAACAATCGTACTTTCATAAAGTGATTGCTTTGCCCACCTGTCAATGAATTATCACCAAAAAATTAATGTTAACAAGTGTTTCACATAACATAAAAACACTAGAAAAAAGGCCTACTTTGGTGCAACTTTTTTTTGAAAGCAGCTGTCCACATGATAATTTAGGATCTCAATTCAATTCTCTCTTGATGAAATTAAATATAGAGATATTGAAGTAGGATTATAACTGCATGCTTCAAACATATAGAATCTCTAACTTCTACGGTGGATTTTGAAAGAATAAAACATAGACTAGATGGCTAAATTTTAGAGATGTCCATCAGGACTGAACATTTGCCATTACCTAGGATAGAGAGCAGTCTTTTAAGAATAAAGATTATTCTACATGCGAGCATTGGAAAGTACTATAGCACTTTTGATTTCCTAATTCTGAAGAAAACAGTAGAAGGTTTGATAAAATTCTGTGTATTTGAAAATCTTAAAATTGATGAAACTCAAACATCTATCAGAAGGCAGACATTTTATTACTGAACACTATACGATAGTTTTAGGATTCAAGGAACACCAATAAATCTATAATCTTGCAAAATCCACAGAACTCAACTAATCGAAGAGATTCACACAGTTCTAAGTATTCTAGAAACACGCGAAATCTATAATTTTCAATGAACTTAAGGTTATAGCTGCTTGTTTTTAATAATTGAGTTAAACTGTCAAAAAAAGAATTTTCCATTATAAAAACCTTTCAATTTCTGAGGAAAAAAAAGTAATCAACCATTGCTTGCAGTCTCATCCATATTTACAGTACAACATTTTTAGTTTTCATTATAAAATCATTGAATCATTCAAATCAAGTTTTAATTATTGAAGAAGTGATTTATCAAGATGCCACCTAAACGACTACAAGTCGATCTATCAATATTTTGATTATTCTCAGCTTTGCAGACATCCTTGTATGATGTTTAATGTTACATTTAAATATATTAGAACACTCTGGAACAATGTTGTTACTGTACAAAAACATTTTGTAGTATTCTCAGTTTTGACCATATTCTCAAGATTTGTTGAGATATGACTATGCTTATTCTGTAACACTCAAAACTCTTGACTTACTCCATAATTATTAACAAACATTTGATCAGAAGCTGTTTGTAGAAAATTTTCATAAGTCTTATCGAAAGTAAAAATCATTACAATATGATACTTTATGTAAATTAGAGCATAGTTTGATGACATTACATTTCTTAGATCTATTAATCGTTATTGTTTCAAATATCTTCACCCAAAAATCAACATTTTTAGAATAGAACTCATTTCATTTTTTATCAAGACAATTATCTATTTTATACATGAGTTAGGGTTCACTATGAAAAAAAGTGAGAAGAAAATGTTTATTCTATATTCATTCTTTAGAATAGAATCTTTGTTGTCTTGGTTTTTCTGAACGTGTGCAAACAAGACATTACCTTGTCAACTGTTTAACATTGAAAACTATCAACATTTCTATAGTTTTCTTCAATACAACGTTCACTTGTATCACTCCTGCTATTATGTCAAGGTGGTTCCAGGAGTTTGTGGTACATATATTTTCAGTACTAAATGTACCATGATTCAGAATGAAGTGATGTTTGATCGGCGAATAAAGGGTGTTCATTAATGAAAAAAAGGATATTAACAATATCTATATATAGGCGATATGTCTACACGTAACATTTCATAGATAATTTTTAATTGCAGACATGTTCAAAAATTTCAATGTCTGGAAGCGTTCTATTGAAGTTAAATCTCCTTTGGAAAAATGAGAATTGCAAGCAACAATTCGAGATCACTCAACTAAATACGAATGAAGATATAAGTTCAGCATTACTCTGAAATCAGTTGATCTCAATTTCAGTCTCCAATATGATTTTACACTGAATGCACCAATTACATTCAAATTCTTTGAAAATTCCTAGCTTTCAAGAAGCGCTTGTATCTCCAAAGTCGTGTTCTAGCTGTCAGAAGTAAGAATCTTGAAAATGGTTAGTGAATTTAGGAATAAAAGTCTCTTTGAGACTAAAAGTGAGGCCAACCAATTTCAAAATAGTAGTGAGTTTTCAAACTCCATTCTTATTTAGTCAAGTGGTCTTGAATAGCTTCTTGCAATCATAGTTTGTCGGAGAAAGATTTAACTTCCATCGAACTTTAGCAAGTTCTGGTATATGACATGTAAAAATATCGCCTATATATATTGTCAATATCAGCCATTTCTATAAAAAGAATCATAAAAAAGTAATACTTTTCATGTGTATCAAAACTGAAGGAACGCATTTTATGTATTCATGTGACGCATACTATCATA